CCTTGCAGAAAGCTGTAATTGGAAGCAGAGGTGAGACTCGAACTCAGGCACTCTGATAGGGGATGCAAGGATCCCATGTGTGGTCTTAAGGACTGCACCAAACTCCTGTCTCTGGGTCTCGGATAGTATCCGTTCAGGCTGTTCAGGCATCACCATGTTTTTTAATTATTTTAAGAATCAGCTTTGCTAATGAAGGTGTAGCAGAGAACTTGGTTTAGACCAAAGAGTAAGCATAGAGAGTAGCAATAGGAATCCCCAGAAAAAGTGCATGAGGTACCTACCATTGGTTTGGAAGGGATTTTATTCTACAATTCCTGAACTTCAATGGGCCTATTATAAAGTTCAGTGGATTGTTGAACTTGGATGGTTAAACAAAATTTAAACCTTTATTTTTGCCAAGTCATAATTGATATGAGAAAATTGCAGAGAAAATCCCTTTTATGAATGTAGGGTTGAAAATGTGTGTTAGCAGTAGTGTTCACCACTAGAAATTACAGCTCTTTGCATATTGTAGTTGTTGCGGATACCTGAAAATATCATTGATACTCATCACTGCTTTGGATTTATAATAGTCTCGGGATCCAGCACCATGTGGCGTGATCCAGTGATTTAATAAATGAGTAAATACATTATTATTATATCATAGACTTATTTTTTTTACAACTTGATAACTAAACTTCAGTTTAGTTAATTTTCTTTTGAATGTGTTGTCTTTTAAGCATTTGACAACATTCTGAGCAAGTTTTATCAGCTTCACAACTAAAGAGGTCCATGGCACACAGAAGGTTAATATCCCTTGGCTTGTACCTTGTCGTTGTGGCATGCAGCCTCCACCTGGTGGCAGCATACACCTTACAGGTTGACTCTATAGTCAACAGTTGAGAAGAAACTTACTTAAAAATAATAGTATACTTGAGTGTGGTTTTTAAATACTTTTGACCACAACCCACAGTAAGAAGTAGGTTTTCCATCATAACCCAGTACCCACATCCTTACATTTCACAAAGCAGATCTTGACCTTACCTTGTGACATATCAATATTTTTTATTGCATTGTAGTATTCTCTTTCATTAAAATGAAATGCTAGTTGCAACATACTAAGCTGCTGTTTAGTGGGTCAGGGTGCACTATTTGACATCATGGGAGAATATCAGCAAACTTCATTTTGGTCTCCCACAAAAAAGCCACACTCGTCAACAATACTTGTCAATGAATATGGATGTATAATCTGCACCTTTTAAAAATTATTTAGGGGTGGGCACTTGGCTTAGAGAGTTAGACACCTACATTCCTTATCAGGGTGCCTAGGCTCAAGTCATAGTCCCATTCCTGATTCCAGCTTCCTGCTAATGTACAACCTAAGAGGTAGAAAGTGATGGCTCAGTCAGCTGTGTCCCTGCCACTCATGGGCAACCTGGATTGGGTTTCTAGTTTCCAGCTTCAACTTGGTCCAGCACCAGTCATTGTCAGCATTTGGGGTATAAATCAGCAAATGAGAGTGCACGTTCCTTCTTCCTCCCTCCCCCCTCCCTTTTCTTCCCTCCCCCAAACTTTCAAATCAATAAAAATATTACAAATATTTTCATGTTACCATTTGTATACACTAATAGGAACTGATCTTAGCTCTATGTCAAAGACGCCACATCAAGAAATAGAATATTCCCATCACCACGCATTTTCTTTGTGCTGGTTCTAAGCCAGTGCCTCCCTGGGCAGTCACTGTTCTGATTTCTTTCACCGTACATTGGTTTTACCTTTTTAGAATTTCACTTAAGTGGAATTGTCCACTATGTCTTCTTTTCTTCTGACGTCTTTTTCTCAATGTAATATTCTTGAGGTGCATGCATGTTGCGTGTACCAGTAGGTTGGTGAGTAGCATTCCACTGCATGACCAAACTAGAATTGCTGTGTTTTCCTAACATACCACATTTGGTTAGTCCCCTGTCAGTAGGCTTTTGAGTTGTCTTTGGTATTAGTTGTTATGAATAAAACTTACACAACCATTTGTATGTGCATCTTTGTGTGCATACATACTTTAGATTTCTTAGGTAAATACCTGGGGTGCAATTGTTAGTGCAATCTGTAAATAAATACTGTGTTTAACTATAGGAAACTGGCAAACTGTTTGTCAAAGTGGTTAAACCATTTTACATTTCTGTCAGCACTGTGTGTGAGTTTGTCTTTGCCAACATGTGGTGGTGTGTCATTCTTTGACATTTTAATCATTCTGCTGAGTTGTATCTCTTAGTGGTTTTAATTTGCCTTTGCCTGTTGACTGATGATGATGAATACTTTTTTTCACGTGCTTCTTGGCTACTCATTTATCCTGTTTATTTAAGCCTGTGTTATTTATTTTGTAATATCCATTTGTAGGAGTTCTTTATATGTTGTGCATACCAGTCCTTTATGTCAAATATATGTCTTTGAATACATTTTTCCCATTCTGTGGCATATGTATTCATGGTGTTTTATGATGAACAGAATTTTGAATTTTGACAGTGTCTAATTTTATTATTTTTCTTCCATAGTGAGTGCTTTCTGACTCCTAAGAAATCTTTTCCTACTCCACACGTCAGGCAGGTTGTTTTGGGTTTTGTATTTGAGTCTATGTCCATCTCAAATCCTTTTTTTTTTTTTCTTTATTAGTTTACAAAGCAAAATTTGTGAGGTAGTAATACAGAGTTCCCATTTACCCCTCACTCAGGCTTCCTTCAGTATCAGACTCTCATATAGCATATTTCTCCCAATTACTGAACCACACCCAGCTTCCCCTGTTTTTCCCCATCACAGATTCTGTGTATTGTCTGCAATGTGTCAAGTTTCCTTTTCTCTCCATATTAATAACTGATGTTCTAACACCATTTGTTGAAACTACGTTTTTTTCCTCTGAATTATAGCACAGAATTTTTTTTTTATGTGTATTTTGCTATCTTTTTTTTTTTTTTTTAACTTTTATTTAATGAATATACGTTTCCCAAAGTACGAATAATGGATTACTATGGCTTCCCCCCCATACCGTCCCTCCCACCCACAACCCTCCCCTTTCCCACTCCCTCTCCCCTTCCATTCACATCAAGATTCATTTTCGATTATCTTAATATACAGAAGATCAGCTTAGTATACATTAAGTAAGGATTTCAACAGTTTGCTCCCACACAGAAACATAAAGTGAAAAATAATAGATGATTTTTTTTTTAAATGATGATGAAATCAGATCAGACCTATTGTCATGTTTAATCCCAGTGAGAGTCAAGTTGGGAGTTGATAGTTTCTATTCTTTTCTTTTCTTTTTTTTTTTTTTTTTTTACAGAGGATCAGTTTAGTATGCATTAAGTAAAGATTTCAACAGTTTGCACCCCCATAGAAACACAAAGTGAAATATATTATTTGAGTACTCGTTATAGCATTAAATCTCAATGCACAGCACATTAATGACAGAGATCCTACATGAGGAGTAAGTGCACAGTGACTCCTGTTGTTGACTTTACCAATTGACACTCCTGTCTATGGCATCAGTAATCTCCCTATGCTCCAGTCATGAGTTTCCAAGGCTATGGAAGCCCCTTGAGTTCTCCGACTCTTATCTTGTTTAGACAAGGTCATAGTCAAAGTGGAGGTTCTCTCCTCCCTTCAGAGAAAGGTACCTCCTTCTTTGAAGACCTGTTCTTTCCACTGAGATCTCACTCACAGAGATCTTTTGCCAGAGTGTAGCACAGAATTTTTTAAGCAGTTTTTCTACCAGAGGAACCCAAAAGTGACTCTTCCTGTGGGCTGTGAACTGAACCTTCCAATCCCTTAGACCATCTTCAACCTATGGGCTTGGTCATCAGTTCCTTCTCAGATTGGTTTATCTGTGTCTTGTGACTATCAGAAATTACTCATAAGGTGTGGGGACTTATAAAGCTACAAGGTTTTACAGGGTCCATGGCTATGCTGCCAAATAAGTAGCCACATGTAGCTATTTAAATTAAATTAAAAATTTAGATTCTCAAAGTAGCCACACTTCAAGCACTCAGTTGCCAGGTTCAGCTAATGGCCATGTTATGGAACACAGCAAATATAGAATATTTCCACTTTTTCTAAAGTGTTGCACAGTGCTAACCTGTAGAATAAGAACAGAGATGGGCTTTGTTCTGCTTCATAGCTTTTTTTCAAAAACATTTATTTTATTTGAAAGAGAGCGAGAGATCCCCAATTTACCCAAATGCCTACAACAGCCAGAGCTGGCCGAGGCTGAAGTCAGGAGCCCAAAACTAATCTACGTCTCCCATGTTGGTGGCAGGGACCCGAGTACTTGAGCTATCACGTGCTGCCTCCCAGGGTTTGCATTACAGGAGGTGGGAGTTAGAAGCAGAGTTGGTATGCAAACTGCACTAGGAGACGCAAATGTCCCAAGCAGCATCTTTACTGCTGCAGCAGAGCCTGCCCTTTGTTGCATGTTCTAATGGAGCCTTAGCTTAGATAACTAACGCCGAGTATCTACCACCTTCTCCTTGACGCTTTCTCATTCTTTCTGGCTTTATTTCTGTTCCAAGATGTCTGGCCCAGCCAGTCTTATTGTCTGTCTAAAAAAAGTGCTATAGCTTCTATCTGTTCTTTTCCTGCTTAGAGGAAAGAATTCCCCTGGCACAGGATCATTCTTCTCTGGAGCCTACTCAGTACTGACCTACTTAGCTTCCCTCGGTGTTTGATAATCCTCCAACTGCCACCGGGATGTCTGGGCATCCCCTTTCAAGGTGTGGCACCAAGATACACATTTTTGTTTTGTTCTGTCTTGATGAACCTTGCGTGTCTCCTTAGTGTTTCTACTTCAGGCTTTAAACTTAGGAAAAGTAGAGAGTTATGACCTGTAGCCCTGTCCCATAGTAAGGTTTCTGTGCAGTAGTGAACTTTGCTGCCATTGCATCATGAGCAACCACATAGGAATTTGGGAGATTTTCTCTCACTGTTTGCCGGGCGTGAGCTGCACCGACACTCACTCTGCCATTTCTGTCTTTCAGTGCGGGAATTTTGCTGTCCTGGTGGATCTTCATATATCCCCGCAAGATCCAAACAAAGATACCAGCTGGTTTTCCGAACAGAAGAAGGAGGTACGACAGAACTTTTCACTATTTAATGCAAGTGGCTGCTAATGAGACAAGAAACTTAGTTCTTCCCAGCTTTCATTTCCATTAGCGGGAAAAGTCGCAGATGTGTGTCATCCTTGACCAACAGCTGTATTCCCAGTGACAGACACAGATACACACTCCTTTCCACTTTAGAAACTGACCATGTGTACATTGCATTTCCAGAATGACTATAAAAATAAACTATATTAATATGTAGTATATGGAGAAGAAACTGGCCATAGTGGCAAAAAAACCAACAAACACTACCTCACTAGCTTTCCCGTGATCATTGTTCTCAGGCAGCTTCTGGAAATCGCTAGCAGCTGTCCCTCCCTCCACCCACCCGAAGGTAGTATCACCATTGTTCTGTTATTATTATCAGATGATATTTATATAATGTACTTATTGTTAGAATGCTGTCATTATTTTGCAAAGATACCTGAGAAATGGAAGGCCCAGGTTCAGGTGAAGACCTGGGGTCCTTTCTGTAGCAAGCCTACATCTCCTGCTGCCACTCACCTTTACCCAGTGCCAAGCTTTAGCATGCCCCATGATTCAAATCGGTTCATGCATTTCCCCAAAGTGACTAACATTCGCCTGAAGGGACCTCACCCAAAAGGCCTCTGACTCGACTTAGAACAGCAGTGTTGTCAAACCTCCTATTCCAGGCCCAGAATTTCCTTTCTTCTCTCCCAGCTTTCCCATCTCGGCCTTAAGCCTTTTGTGTTGATATTTAGTCTTTAAAATAAAGCTATGGATGTGTGAATCACCCCCGAGCCAAAGCATGAAGCTCCATTGTTTTAGGGGTGCCACCTGCAGCAGGGTGACTCTGCTTAGCACCCACTGCAGGGCAGCAGGGAGTGACTTAGCAAAGGTGCACACGCACCGCAGGACCTGCTGCCAGAGGCGGGTTGTGCCAGCAAGCTGAGCATTCCTGTCACGGCAAAGCAGACGACTGGCTGCTCCTGCCTCACGCCATTCCTTTAACGTGCATGTTCACTGACGGTAGCGTTGTTCTGGGATCGTTTGTGCGTGAGTCTAAGAAAGGAGAAAGGCGAGTTGAGGAAAAGATGGTACCCTCGCTCATGCGTGGTGTCTCAGTGCCTTTTTTTTTTTTAAATCCTCAGATGATCCAGTGATTGGGATTTCACGAGCAGCCGATTTGATAGCATTTTAACAGTCATGTTAGATAGTGACTGTCTATTGAGTTCATTTTTAGAGAAAGAAACTAATTACATGGATTAAGCAAATATTTGTTTGCTTGGAGCCCAGCATGAGTAGCGTTTGACCCAAAAAGTCCAACTTAACACTGTTCATTTGTCCACTGGGGGGAGTGCACATACACCCCTACTAGCTGAGAGGTGTCACTTGCATCTCCGTCTGTCTCATTAATTTTAACTTGTTTTCTCGTCAGCCCTCCACGAGTAACTGGAAGGTTGCACTTTCTTGCATTTCTCTGGTTCTGAAGAGACTGCTTCACTACACGTGGTGTGGTCAGTTATCAGGGAACCTCGGCCACATTGCGCCTGGTCTACCTTTTGTTCGTCAAACCTGATTCACAAAAGGAAAAGCCCCAGAAACCATAGGGAGAAAGCATGTGTGTATGGGCCTTTGCTTTATTTTTGTCACACACTATTTTTAGTTCTAGCCTTATAGGGCATTTATGGCCAAATTCTAACAACCCCTGTTTCCATGTATGTCTTTCACATATTTTCTAGCTCAGTCATCATTGAACCCTGCATGTGAAGCGAAATTCTTTAATTGTTAAAATAACAGTATGAGGCAAGCCTGCCTCTCTGTTGGGTGAACAATGCCAAAACATGGACTGTAAATGGATATCTCTGTATTCCACAAGGCACTGCATCTTCGAGCTGCAAAGTGGAAAGCAGGAAAAGGGAGACTAGTATTTGTATTTTATCTAGAAACTCACATTTGTGAAGTCAGTTGAGGGTTTTCTATACTGTTTGAGAAGTGCAGGTATTTGCATTAAAAGAAAAGCTTCACTATCACTGCCCTTCAGAGCAGCTGAAAACTTCTTCTTGTTTTAATTCTGGAAGATTCCGAGAGATCAGCCTGCAATGGCATCAGCAAGAAACCAGTGAAACAGGTTTGAGGTGACCTGGGCAGCTGAGAGCCTGCTTCAGAGTCTTTGGGAATCGACCCGGGATTATCAGTCCGTACCAATTGTTTCTGCATTTAAATTAAGAAAATTAGATTTATGTTATGATCCCCCCCCTTTCCTATATTAGATTACATTTTCCTGGTAGTACAGGGAACACTACACAGAGTATCTTCCCATTCTGTGGTTGAGCTTTTAAATTTTTGTTTTCCTTTTTATAAATAACCAATATATAAAACTTGACATTTCCAGAATTTTGCTGGTAATATGGCATGTTTAAATTGAATTAAAACTACATTTCTGTGGTCTAATGAGGGTTAATCTACTTTATAGAAGTAGAAGATGATTATTTTTATTAATAATAGATAAATATGGTGCACTCTTAACAAAAGCAAATGGACATTCACAGTGTCATCAGCAAGCGTGGGGAAGAAAGTCAGATCACTGATGCCCAGTCCTCTGTTTAATTCAGGGCTCACTACTGTGCTTCACTAGAGTTCTAAACCTGAGGTCAGAAACTAATAAATGATGGTATTTAGATTAAGAAATTTATATTTTTAAAAGATTTATTTATTTATTTGAAAGAACTAACAGAGAGAGAGGGAGGAACATAAAGAGAGATCTTCCATCTGCTGATTCACTCCCCAGATGCCAGCAACAGCCAGGGCTGGCCCAGGCCAAAGCCAAGAGCCAGGAGTTTCATCCGTGTCTCCCACATGGGTGGCAGAGGTCCTAATACTTAGGCCATCTTCCACTGCCTTTCCCAGGCCACTAACAGAGAGCTGGATCAGAAGCGGAGCAGCTGGGACATGAACCAGCTCCCAAGTAGGATGCTGGCTTCCCAGGCGGCAGCTTTACCTGCTACACCACAATGCCAGCCCCAGATTAAACTAAGGTTGAAGGGCTAGCACTGTGGCTTAGTGGGTGAAGCCGCTGTCTGTGGCACCAGCATTCTATTTGGGTGCCAGTTCAAGTCTGGGCTGTTCCACTTCTGATACAGCTCCCTGCTAATGCCCCTGGCAGGGCAGCGGAAGGTGGCTCAAGCACTTGAGCCCCTGCCCCCATGTGGAAGACCCAGAGGAAGTTCATGGTTCCCGGCTTTGGATTGGGCCAGCTCCGGCCATTGTAGCCATTTGGGAAGTGAAACAGCATCTGGAAGACCTCTCTCTCCCTGTCTCTCTCCCTCTCTAACTTCTCCTTTCAAATAAATAATATTAAAAAAAAATAAACTGAGGTTAAAAATGTGAAATTTATATATCAAAATCACCTTTCCCAGCTCCTCTTGGACATATTGGAAGATCTTGCAGCACTGGGTCTGCACACCTGACAGCAGTGGTTGGGCTGTGACCGTCCGTGGGCCCCCAGACCATCTGCACGGACAGTGAACCAATGGGCCCCTTCTCCTGGCCCCTTTCCTCGTGTGCAGCCCCTTGTATAGCTGGGCGTGTCTGGGGTGTTCATTCCCCCAGGCCCTTGCTGCCAGCCAGCATGGACTCTACTTGGCTTCTTTTCTTTTTTGTCACAATACAATAAGTGATTGATATTTACCCAGAAACATTCTTCGCCTTGCTGATTTTTATCACTTCATCACCCTGATTTGTACCTTGAAGTGTTTCTGTCATCTTTTCAACGATGTGAAACTGAGGCAGCAAGAAAGGAAATGAATTTTCCAGTTTGCAGAGTGGGCCAGCATCCTGGCTTCCCATAAATCTCAGCAGCAAATTTAAAACCGCGGTGTTATCCAAAAGCACACATCACATTCCTTCCAGCCTTCATAGCTAAATTAAAAAGCAAACACAATGAAATGTCCAGTGTTGACTTTTTCATATGTACTGTTAATTTTTTTGCATGCATTAAATTAGAAGGTTATATCCAATTTTTGTGTTTGCTTTAGGAAGTGTGTTTACTGTTAAAAGAAACCATTGATTCAAGAGTTAAGGAATACTTGGAAGTTCGTAAACAACACAAGCCATCAAGTCCTGAATTCACAAGATCCAATCCTTTGTCCTTAAAAGGTAGGCACAGAGCACTTTGATTATGGACACAGAAAATAAAATTTCTGCTTTGTAGAGATGGCAGTTGTGTTGGACTTGTCGTGTTAGTATAGTGATACATTTAAAAAATATGTTGTAATGAAAATACTTTGTTTGAGTAAAGAAAATTAACTAGAAAGCCCCTAAGGGCTTTTAATGGTAGGCAAAATAAATAAAAATAGCAAATAAAACATTCCTAAGGAAACTGAATTCTTTAAAAGAATTTTTTTTGACATGTAGTCTCACAAGTGGGTTTATATTAATACCGACTTAAATTGATTTGGTGCCTTAGACTTTTAAAAAATGTTTTCATGTATGTCACCCTAATTCAAAGTTTTTCAGATGAGGTCAGTCTTATCCCCGTGGGACATTGGATAATGTCCACAGCAGTTTCAGTTGTCTTAACTGGCGAGAGATGGAGCAGTACTAGGGAACCTCCTCTCAAGACAAAATGATCAGGCTCCAAACTTGAAGGGCAGCAAGGCTGAGATATCCATCCTGTTTTCTAGTAACACGTGTGGTGACAGCTTTTAGGTATAGGCCAAGATGCTGGGAGTCTGCAGAATTATATGCTGCCCAAATAAATCCTCTTCTAAAGGACAGAGATGATCCTGTTCATTCAGTATCTTCGCCTCCCACGACCCCTGCTCTGAACTTGCCCCAGGGCCAGCTTTAGTGACATGTTGAACGAAGTCGGGTGCTAAGTCGCAGAACCTGAACTCAGACCTGACTCTTCTGACTCCCAGCTCGGTATTCTTTCTACTCTGTCAAGGTTGGGTTTTTTATTTTTTGGAATTTTCATAGCACTATTCGTTGTACACACACAGTCACCCCAGTTAATTCTCAGAAGCTGGTAGCTAGACTGCTGTGAACCAGACAACAGCAGTGCAACACCTCTTCAAGAAAAACACTATGCACCCCTTCGATGGCATCCTGGATCCGGTGTTCACCCTGGTGTAGGTGAGGCAGGCAGATTACTGTTACCCAAACTGAAAGCCTGAACAAAAGGAATTTTCAGTCCGAACAGTGTTGTATTAGGTGATGTTTTCTGTTTCGTCTCCGTAATATTATATAAATCTTGAGGAAAACCATAGGAATGTGCACACTTTGTACGCCCGCAGACCTGGCTTGTCTTGCTTTCTGTTACGAGAGGAAAAGTAAGAGCCGGCACCCGCGTCCCAGAGTGCTAGGGGCTCTAGTGGGCCTGCTCGGTAGCCGTTCTCCACCCACCCTTCAGGGTCCTCTTCACTGCTGAGGGCAGGAAGCGGAATGTTTCACGTCCCACCCTTTCACACAAGCAGGCAACATAGTTCTGGGTCCAAAATGGCAGTCAGAGCCGTTCGTGGACTTACATGGGAACAAAATGTTGTTTTTAAACAGAAAAGTGATCTTACAGTGAATGGATATGTGACTGTGGTGAACTGTGTTTTACACCTGGTGCATTATTAAAAAGTCCTTTCACATACATCCCCATTTTCAGAAACTTTTTTATTGTAAAAAAATAGAGATAATATAAAATGTACTATTTAATCATGTCCAAGAGTACCCTTTAGTAGCATTAAGCACATTCAGATTTCTGTTCATTCATCACCACTGTCCATCCCCTTAACCTTTTCATCCTCCCAAACTGAACTGTACCTACTGATTACTAATTTCAATTCCCCCCTCTCTGAGCCCCTGGTAACCACTATTCTACTCTCTGACTATGAATTTGACTGCTCTAAGTATCTCATGTAAGTGGATTCATACAATATTTGTTCTTTTGTGTTTGGCTTAATTCACCTAGCATAATGTTTTCAAAGTTTACCCATAGTCTATAGTACGCATCAGACTATTAGACCTTCTTAAGGCTGAATAATATTCCATTAGATACCACATTTTGTTTATCCATTCATCTATTGATGGTCATTTGGGTTGTTATTGTTTTTGGCTATTGTAAATAATGCTGCTGTAAAACTCTTTGTTTAAATCTTTGCTTTCAATACTTTTGGATATAAACCTAGAAGTAGCGTTGGTGGATCATGTAGTAATTCTGATTCATTTTTTTGAGGAACTGCTATAGTGTTTTCCACAGTGAATTATGTTTTACACCACTAGCAATTCATAAGTTTTCTGGCTTCTCTACACTTTTGCCAGCATGTATTTTCTGGTACTTTGATTATAGCCATTCTGATGGATGTGAGCTAATTTCTTATTGTGGTTTTCATTGGCATTTCCTAGTGATATTGACCATCTTTTCATGTGTTTGTTGGCCATCAGTATGTTTTTTGAAGAAATGTCTTTTTTATGTCCTTTGTCCATCTTTTAATGAATTGTTTGTTTTTATGGTTTTTTTAAAGAGTTATTTATTTATTTGAAAGAGTTACAAAGAGAGAAGAGGCAGGGGGAGAGAGAGGGAGAGAGGTCTTCCATCTGCTGGTTCACTGCCCAATTGGCCGCAATGGCTGGAGCTGCGCCAATCCAAAGCAAGGAGCCAGGAGCTGCTTCTGGGTCGTCCATGTGGGTGCCGGGGCCCAAGGACTTGGGCCATCTTCCATTGCTTTCCCAGGCCATAGCAGAGAGCTGGATCAGAAGTGGAGCAGCTGAGACTTGAACCCGCGCCTATATGGGATGCCAGCACTGCAGCCAGCAGCTTTACCTGCTACGCCACAGTGCCGACCCCTGTTTTTATGTTTTTAAAATTGTTTTAGTTCATTGTATGTTTTGCATATTAACCCTTTTTCAGGTGCGTGACTTGAAAATCTGTTTGTTCTGTGTTGTGTTTTCATTCTCATAATAGTGTCTTCTAATGCACAGCAGTTAGCTCAAATGTAGCCAACTTATCTTTGGTGGTCTGTGCTTTTCATGTCATATAGAAGAAATCATTGCTACATCCAATGCCATGAATCTTTCCCCCTGTTTTTTAGAATTGTATAGAGTTAGCTCTTACATTTAGATAGTTAATGCATTTTGAGTTAATTTTTGAATATGGTTTAAGACAGAAGTCCACCTTTATTATACTTTGCACATGGATGTCCGGTAGTCCTAGCATTATTTACTGAAAAGACTGTCCTTTCCTACACTAAAGGGTCTCGACACTCTTATCAGGAATCATGTAAACATATATGTGATGATTTATTTCTGAGACCTTTCTATTTCACTCTATTTCACTGTGTATCTGACTTTATACCAGCAGTACACTGTTTGGATTACCATAGCTTTGCAGTAAGTTTTGAAATCAAAAGTATGAGCCTTTCTAAATTGTTTTGGTATTTTTCAAGATTTTTTTGACTGTTTGAGATTCACATTGCTGTTCTGCATACTATGTCATTAAATTCATGTAGTCTTAACTTATTGGTGGGATTTATTTAGATTGCATATAATATTTTTACCTTGAATACCCTAATAATATACATACTTCAAATTCTTTATAATGTTTCTAGCTCAATGCTCTTTTTTTAGTTTGTAAGAGTTCTTAAAGTATATCAATATCATATATGATATAGATGATTTTTCTGTTTGTCATTGTCCTTTTTTAATTAACTTTTTAAAAATTTATATAAGGTGAACAAATTTCATGGATTTTATATATTACAGATTTGAGGCATAGTAATACTTCCCATTCTTCCCTCCCTCCCACCTATACTCCAAACCTCCTTCTTCCACTCTTTTAATTTTTTCAGTGACCTATTTTATTTTATAATCTCAGGATTAGCCCTCCTCTAAGTAAAGAATTCAACAAAAAGTAAGGGAAAAAACTGTTCCACAAAAGTAGAGACAAGGACTGTAAATAATAATCAAATCTCAAAATGTCAATTTTGCTTATATACATTACATTTTTTCTACTCTATTAGTTGCAGAACAGGGAAAACATATGGTATCTGTCTTTTTGGAACTGGCTTATTTCAGTAAGTATAATGATTTTTAGTTGCATCCTTTTTTTTTTTTTTGGTGAAAGACAGGATTTCTTTTTTTTTTTTTTAATAGCTGAATAACATTCCATAGTGTATATATACCACATTTTCTTAATTCAGTCATCTGTTAATGGACATCTGGATTGATTCCAAAGCTTAGCTATTGTGAACTGGGCTGCAATGAACATAGGGTACAGGTAACTCTTTCATATGCTGATTTCATTTCACTTGGTAAATTCCCAGGAGTGGGATGGCTGGATCATATGGTAGATCTATTTTCAGATCTCTGAGGAATCTCCATAATGGCATCCACAATGGCTGCACTAGTTTACATTTCCACCAACAATGAATTAGGGGACCTTTTTCCCCACATCCTCCTCAGCCTTTAGTGTTTGTTGATTTCTGCATGAAAGCCATTCTAACTGGGGTGAGTTAAAAACCTCATTGGGTTTTGATTTGCATTTCACTAATGGCATTTTTTCATGTGTCTATTGGCCATTTGAATTTTCTCTTTTGAAAAATGCCTGTTCAAATCCTTTTGCTATTTCTTAACTGAGTTGTTTTGTTGTTGCTGAGTTTCTTGAGCTCTTTATAGATTCTGGATATTAATCCTTTATCAATTGTATAGTTTGCAAATATTTTCTCCCATTCTGTCAGTTGCCTCTTTCTTTGTCAAGTGTTTACTTTGCAGTGCAGAAGCTTCTTAGCTTGATGCAATTCCATTTGTCTATTTTGACTTTGATATCCTGTGCCTCTGGAGTCTTTTCCAAGAAGTCTTTGCTTATGCCAATGTCTTATGAGTTTCCCCAATATTCTCCTCTAGTAAATTGAGTTGAATTTTTTAAAATATTTATTAATTTATATGAAAGAGTTACACAGAGAGGAGAGGAGATGGGGGGGGGGGGGGCGTTCTTCCATTCTCTGGTTCACTCCCCAATTGGCCACAATGGCTGGAGCTGCATTGATCTGAAGCCAAGAGCCAGGAACTTCTTCTGGGTCTTCCACATGGGTGCAGGGGCCCAACGACTTGGGCCATCTTCTACTGCTTTCCCAGGCCATAGTAGAGAGCTGGATCAGAAGTGGAGCAGC